GGATTTAGTAAAATGTAAGCTCCTAGGAATGGAATGGAAAAATATTAAGTATGTACTATGTATACTGAACACACTTACCAAGTGCAGGGAGTACAAACAAAACTAGTTAGAATCCCTGCTGTCAGGGAGCTCACATTCTAATTGAGGGAAAAAACAGATAAAAGAGGCCCTCACAGTTATGATCAGTTCATGACAGATGGAAAGGCCATGGACTCTCTTGATTTTCTTCCTGTGTCCTCATTGTTTACCCCAGGGCTTTGCATATAGCAGGTGCTTAATGCTTACTGACCGATAAAACACAAGGGAAATAAGCTTCTTAAGTTAAACATTTAATGTGCTTTTTCTTTTGTTGCTTTATCTGAGTTCTAAAATAAAGCCAACTTTGTAAGAAAAACAAATACTGAATCCCATTATCCAAATCTGGGGAAAACTGCTCATAAAATCAGTCTTGTTCTTTGAAGACAGGATTTTATAGGGCTGTTATGATATTCATTATGATGACTTACATAGATGCTTTCCCTGGGAGAACTCAAAATAAAAGCATTTTCCTACATAACTTAAAATTGCCTTTTGAGGTAAGTGGATTTAATGTTTCTTTCCTTTGTTATGAGGTGCCTTGGGCAGTTCCTTGTACATAGTAGGCACTTCACAAATATTCATTGATTGAGTATTGAACTACTAAGCTAAGGTTGAAAGAGGGTCAGTCACTTGCCAAGAGGCCACGGATACAGTACATTGGTAAGGATTCCTACTGGGCTTCTCACAGTTTTAATAGTTTTCTAGCTAGATCATACTGCCCTAGTATTCATGCTAATTCAAAGTTAACTTCTTAGACCTTATCCTGACATTCAGAAGTGACTTATCTGCTCTCTTTTTGGAGTGTTATTAACTTTCCTGGTGATAAGAAGCATCATAGATCTGTAGAAGGAATACTGGATTTGAAGCCTGAGAACGTAAATTAGAGTCCTGACTCTGTCACCAGTGTGATGTGGGGCAAGGCCTTTCACTTATGTGTCCTTATCTCTAAAATGATGGAATTGGGTTAGATGACTTCTAAGGTTCTTCCCAGCTTTACATTTTTGAGCTTGTTAAGGTTATATGTAGTACAAGTCTTCATTCAATACATCTTGTGTTTGTGTGTGTTTGTGTGCATTAAAATGTATTTTTGTGGTTGATAAGAGTCAATGCATCTACAGAAGGTGAGGATTTTAGTCAGTACTATCATTTTGCAGAAATTCAGTCTCCTTTTTTGTTTAAGTACCGGGTAAAAAAATTCAAGAAAATTAACTCTTTGGATTATAAGTCTACTACCTGCCGTTAGAGTATTTTAAACTATTAATTTGATGAAAGCCACCTTAGTAGTCACTGGGGATACGAAGATAAGACAAAAAAAAATCCTTCCCAAGTGGTGAAAGTGAGGAAAAAGTACATTCCAGGTATGGGGGAAAAGCTGTCTAAAGGCATTGAGGTTGGAGGTGAAATGTCAAGTCTGAAAACTGCAAGTTTACCGGAGCAAAGATTGTGTGAAAGGAAGTATTTGGAAATAAATCTTAAAGGTTAGGCTGGAACTGGACTGTACCATCTACATTATTTATATAGCACTTTAAAGTTTATGAAATGTCTTCCTTGTGATAAGATGCTGAAACAGGTGGTGCAGGTATCCCCAATTTATATGTGAAGAAAGAGGATTAGAGTAGGTAAAGGACTTGCCCATAGTCACGCAGCTTGTAAGTGGCATTTGGCAATTCATTATTCTTTCTACTCTGCTGTAGATAAGACTGAGATACTGGCTAATAGAACCACTTCTTCCAATCTAACAAGCATTTATTAAGCATTCACTGTATGTATAAGGCATACTGCTAATGCCTCCATGACATTACATCTGTGATATAGAGTATTAAGATTATCTTCCAATAATAGATCATCTTTATAATTATATGTTGAAGCTATTTATTTTCCTTTTTTTTTTTAACCAGCTGCTTCAGGGTCTAAGTCACATTTTTGTGTACATTACTGCATATTTTAAGGAGTTAATAGGATTAATTTTTTTAAAAATCAGCTACACCATAAATATATCCAGATGAGTCTTGTCCCCTTTAAAGTAGACATCTGGGTGTGTGTAAGGGGGTGGGGGGAGCAGTAAGGGGAAGGTTATGTACACTTAATCCAATAATGTTTCTATCTTTCAAAATTTTTTAGAATTGGATTTAAAGCCAGCAGCACTTTATTTTATTTTTAGTACATATGTTGTTTATTTTAATTTTTTCTCGATTACATGTAAACAAGCATTTTGAACACTCATTTTAAAAAACTTTGAATAATTTTCTCCAAATTTTCTCCCTCCCTCTCTTCCCTCCTCCTTGAGAAGGCAAACAATTTAATATAGATTATACATGACAGCATGTTCTTTTAAATATCCTCAGTGGTGCAGAATTTTTATCCTGTGAGAATAGAAATGATCAGTTCATAGCCAAGTTTGGGGAATAATATGGGTGACCAAGGTGGGTGATGAAACTGGATTTTGCAGTCAAAAATAAGATATAACTGAAATAATGAGACCAGGCCTCATATGAAGGCCATTCCAAAAGAAGAGACCAGAAATGTTTTGAGTAATACGAGCGCTGATTAGATTAAGTGTATCACCTTTGAAGGGTAACCTTCAGTTTACTTGGATATTTAAGTTTTGCTTGGATTATTTGAGGTAGGAACAATGAAAACAGGGATAGTTTCAATACTTTCTGTTCTTTCAGTGTTAAAGAATTATTTCTAATATTCTTTTTTTTCTTTTTTTTGGCAATTGGGGTTAAGTGACTTGCCCAGGGTCACACAGCTAGTAAGTGTCAAGTGTTTGGTCTGAGGCCGGATTTGAACTCAGGTCCTCCTGACTTCAGGGCCGGTGCTCTATCCACTGTGCCACCTAGCTGCCCCTCTAATATTGTTCTTAGACCTCAGTCTCTGAACTATAGCTATAATAGTTATTTAATATTAGAGAAAATTCCTCTAAATACTTGCTTTTTATATTACCCACTAATACTCGTTCAAATAGTGGACTTAAATGTAAAGAAAAAAGGTAAAGAAAAAGATGGGCTCAAGGGATCTTCCCTAGATGTCCTTGTACTTCTGTGTCCTGGGTTGTGGAACCTGAACTGTTTTTTTCTGGATGCGGCTATCTTCTTTCAAAGGGTTAGAGGCTGTTCACTGATTTGATATCTGGCTAGCAATGTTGCTCCTCAAAAACTTGTAAGCATAGAAGAATGCTACATGAAGGATTTTGGTAAGACTGAGATGCTAGTTAATGGAACCACTTCTTCCAGTCTAACAAGCATTAATTAACTACCCACTGTATGTACAATGCACTTTGCTAAGTGCTAGGGATACAAAAACCAAATGATAAATTGTTAGGGATCTGTAAGGATGTAGAGGGCCACAGACGGTTCATGAGATCTCACTGAAGGGCTGAGGCCCCTCTCGGGTTTTGGTCCATGAGCAAAGATTGCCTGGTTCGGTGCTCCATTCTATGCATCTCTAACTTCCCTAGTTACTCATTAGTCATTAACAGTGTATTTGTGATTGGTGGTATGTAAGTGCACGGATCGTGCGTGCACTGTCCTTGAGCACAGCATGGGTTATACATCGTTGTAACATGAGACAGAGTTCTTGTTATTTTACTATATAAATGAGTGCTTTGCTAAAAATAAACGGAGTTGCTGCCATCTTTTCTCCCGCCTCATCAATGCGTGTTCAGAGTGAAAGGTCAAGCTAGTCTTGATTCTTCAGGTGATTGGGAAACCGTAGGTCCTAGGTAGGCTCTGTAGCCGAGTGAGAAAGTCGTGACAATAAATCACACCTTGAGCTTAAGGAGTAGGGGTAGGAAGGGGAATACAACATTTGTACAGATAAATTAGCAAAAGATCATTTGAATAACTGAGGAGATCAGGAAAGGCTTTTTTAGTAGGAGGGTAGAGTACATGAGCTGAGCCTAAAAGGAAACTAAGGATTCTTAGAGGCTAAGGTAGGGTGGGACTGAGAGCAGTAATGAGCATGTGAATTAGGCTGGAAGCTATTTGTGTGGAGGAAAATTGATGGATGGATATGACATTTGTTATGGAGGTAGAAAAAACAAGACTTGACATTCAGTCGATTGAGTATTGGGGGGCAAAGGAGTGTTGCAGATGACTGAATCCAAGTAACTGGAAAGATGGTGGTATCCTCAGCAAAAATAGGTAAATTTGGAGGAGGGTTTGGGGAGGGAAAATATTGAGTTCTTTCTTAGACATGTTGAATTTGAGATGACAGTTGGAGATGTTCGACGGGTGATTGGGGCTGAATGTATGGATTTGAGAGCCTTGGGGGAATCACCCATCCTTAGGAAGTAGGGTATAGAATCAGCAAAGGCAGCTGAGAAGGAGTAGTTAGACAAGTAGGAACATCAGGACAGAGCATGTCACAAAATCCCAGAGGAAGGGATCCAGATAGAAGGGGTGTGTGGTCATCAGTGTTAAAAAGCTACTAAAAGGTCAAGGAGGACAAAGATTGATTTGGCAGTTAAACAATGTATAGTAACTTTGATTATATTCCTGTGAATACTTCTTTTAAGTCTAAAACTGAGATACTATTAGATAAATTGAAATGTAGATTTTATAAACACCAGCAAAAGTGTATAATTCAGTAAGTTCTCATGCAGACCTCCTCTGTGTTTTCAGATATATATTATGTTTGTATTTGGTGTATAATTATTCTATTTGGTATGTAAGTAAAGGTTGACAAAACAATTCAGTAAGAAATAAAATATTCAATATGTTTAAGAATGACCTTTGGGTAATAGAAATGGAGTTATATAAATCCAAGAAATGAGCTCTTTATGCTAAAAGAGCAAGAATCTGTGTGCCTCTGGAGGTACACGGGTGGCAACCATGCACTGTGAGAGGGTTTTGGCTATGGGGTTGTGACTTGTATTTTGGACAGAAAGACTTTAGTCTTTTTTTTTTTTAATCTTCTAGAAACCTAAAGTTCTTGCATCCCTATCTAAAGAAGATGAAGCTTCTATTTCCTTTCCTAAGCCTCCAGTGGACCCTGTGAAGATTAGAAGAGTAAGCAGTGCCCGTGCACGTTTATTCAAGGCATCCTCTCAGGGAAGTCTCCTTCCAGACAAAATATTTCATCTTGATGAGTGTAAGAATGTCTAAGTGTTCCTAAAAACTTAAGGATAGAACTGTTTCTTAAAATGTACATGGAAGCTATTTTTAAAATGATACTTTTCCTGGTCCTAGATGTTGTGGGGAATCTTAGATTCTATTTACTTGATGTGAACTTGTGCTTTTATTTATCTATATGTTTTATACATGTGTAGCATAGGCTATTCATAACTCTGAGTTTGGCACTGAAAGTATATAGAATGATATAAACTTAAGATTGGAAGAAATCTCAAAGATCATCTAATATAAACCCTCCTGAAATCATGAATCTTTGCCAAAATGCTTCTTTAGAAGTAATCATTTAGACTCCACATGAAGATCTCTAGTGAAAGGGGACTTTGAATGTATCAGAGTCTACCTATTACATTTATGGACAACTCTAAAAGAAATTTTTCCCTCTGTTGAGCTTGATTTCCACTTTTCTGTAACTCCTACACATTGATTCTACTTCTGCCTTCAGGAAAGAAAATCTAAACCCCCCTATTACATGAGTCTGGGTCTTTCATATTTTTGAAGATGGCTGTCATGTGATTGTATTCTCTTTTCAAACTTAAATATCCATAGTTGTTTCAGCCCTCCTTGTATGGCATCATTACTAGTTCATTCCCCATCCTAGTATTTATCCAAGGGACATACTCCAGCAGTCAATTACCATTTCTAAAATTCGGTGCCCAGAATTGAGTATAACTCTCTAGACATAGGCTGACGAGGGCAGAGTAGAGTGGGCCTGTCTCTTCCTTTGATCTGGACATTATACTTTTATTAATACAACCCAGGGTTAGCATTAGTTCTTTTGCCTGTGACGTTTTGCTGATTCAGATTTAGACCCCTATGTCTTTTTCATACGGATTATTTTCTAGCCAAGTCTTCCTCCATTCTTTTCTTATACAGTTGATTTTTTGACCCAAGTACAGGACTTGACATTGATCACTATTAAATTTCCTCTTTTCAGAGTCAGCCAAGTCTTTTAGCTTGTTGAGGTCCTTTGGATCCAGGTCTTATTCATCATAGTAGCTATCTTGCCTAGCTTTGTTATCTGTAGCATTATCTATGCCTCTCAGCTTTGTGTCGTCCACATATTTAATAAAAATCCATCTGTGCCTTCATCAACAAAAAATAGAACATTGAATAGAACATTGCCAAAGACAAAGAGTGTGCCACCAGAGGCCTCTCTCGAGGTTGAAATGGATCCATTCAATCAACAATCTCTTGAGTCCAGTATGAGTCCTCTTTATAGAGTTCTGAATTTAGATTCTGGAGAGCTGTGAGTTCAGATTGTTCCTATGATACTTAGAACCATTTGAATTCTGTGATACTCAGTTTCCTTATATATCAAATGGGACTAATTATCTTTCTGATACCTACACACAAGGTTGTTGTAAGGATCAAATCAGATCATTCATTAGCATCTGTTAAACACCTACTAAGTGCAAAGCACTGTACCAAGCTCAAGGTGTGTAGTATTTATACAGATAAACACATGATAATTTGAAGAGCAGGAAAACACGAACAACTTAGGGAGATGAGGAAAGGCTTCTCCATAGGGGTTGGTGCCAGAGTTAAGTCCTTAAAGAAAGCTAAGGATTCTAAGGGGCAATGACCAAGGAAAAGGCACAAAGATGGGAGTTGAGATGCTAGGTTTGGTGAACAGTGAATAGATCGGTTTGGTTAGTAGGTGATGTGTATGAAAGGGACGGATGTAAAATAAGTTTGTAAAAGGCATTTTGTAAATCTTAAATGTCAACCATTATCATTACTGCTTAGTCCTTGGTGACTTTGTGTAAAGATGGGAAAAGGTGAGGGAAATATATAGAAAAGTATGGTCCAGGAAGGAATGAGGGAGGCTAAAGAGCTGTAGATTATAGGGGCCTCCTGCCCCTATACCATAGATACTTTCTTCAAGAAAAGAATTGATAGGCAAAATCGTCGTGCAGTGTATAAAATTGTCTTGCTTGTGTATTTCCCTCCATTCTATTTTCTTCTGTTTATCTTTCTTTCTTTTTATCTTGTCACTTCTCAAAAGTCTATTTTGCTTCTAACCATTGCCTGCCTTAATCTGCCCTCCCTTTTATCCTCCCCCAAGTCACTTTTCTTTATCCCCTTCCCTTTCTATTTTATATTTTCCCATTGGGTAAGATACATTTCTATACCCAACTGAGCATGTACATGTAGTCTTCCCTTCTTGAGCCAATTTCAAGAAGAATGAAGTTCAAACATTGCTCCCCTTCCCATTTCCACCTTCACTGTCAAAGCTCTTCCTTGCATGCCTCTTTTATGTGAGAAAAATTTCCCCATTCTACCTCTCCCACCTTTTCCTAGTACACCCCTCTTTCTTAGCCCTTCAGGGTTTTTTTGGAGATAGTTCCAACATAATCGACTCACATCCATGCCCTGTGTCTATGTAAACTCCCTTTAGCTGCCCTAGTAATGGTAAAGTTCTTAGGACTTGCATGTATTATCTTCCCTGAATGTAAACAGTTTAACTTTATTGAGGCCCTTATGATTACCTTTTTATACTTCTCTTGAGTTTGTGTTTAAATATCACATTTTCTATTCAGCTCTGGTCTTTTCATCAGGAATGCTTGAAAGTCCTCTTATTAAATGTCCATGTTCCCCCTGAAGGATTATACTCAGTTTTGCTGGGTAGGTTATTCTTTGTTGTAATGCTAGCTCCTTTGCCTTCCAGAATATCATATTCCAAGCATTCCACTTTTTTAATGTGGTAGCCACTCAATCTTGTGTGATCCTGACTGTGGCTCCATGAATATTTGAATGATTTCTTTCAGGCACCTTAAAATATTTTCTCTTTGATCTGGGAACTCTGGAATTTGGCTGTTAATATTTGCAAGAAGTTTCATTCTGAGATCTCTTTCAGGAGTTGATTAGTGGATTCTTTCAATTTCTATTTTATTTTCTGGATGTAAGCTATCAGGGCAGTTTTCCATGATAATTTTTTGAAATATGATGTCTAGGCTCTTTCTTTGATCATAGCTTTCAGGTAGTACAGTAATACTTAACTTATTTCTCCTTATTCCATTTTCCAGGTCAGTTGCTCTTCTGATGAGATACTTCACATTTTCTTTTATTTTTTTCCTTTCTTTTGACTTTTATTCTTTCTTGATGTCTCCTGAAGTCATTAGCTTCCACTTGTCCAATTCTGATTTTTAAAGGATTATTTTTTTCAGTGAGATTTTGCACCTCTTTTTCCATTTGGCTAATTTTTTTGGTTCTTGTTCTTCTTCTTTGGTCTTGACTTTTCATGACCCCATGGACCATAGTGTTCCAGGCCCTTCTGTTCTCCCCTATCTCTCAAAGTCTGTCCAAACTCATGTTCATTACTTCCATGACACTATCTATCTGTCTCATCCTTTGTTGTCCCCTTCTCCTTTTTTCCCTTCAGTTTTTCCCAACATCATGGTCTTTATAAGGAATTCTTTTCTTCAGTGAATTTTTGTACCTCCTTTTCCATTTGGCCTAATCTGGTTTTTAAAGAATTCTTTTCTTCAATGAATTTTTGTGCCTTTTTAAAAAAACCATTGTGCCAGTTCTGTTTTTTGAAGTTATTTTCTTCAGTATTTTTTGTTCCTCTTTTACCTAGCCATTAATTCTCTTTTCATAATTTTCTTGCATCACTCTCATTTTGTTTCCCAATTTTTCCTCTACTACTCTTATCTCTTTCTTTAATGCTTCCAGGAATTCTTGTTGGGCTTGGTTCCAGCTAGCATTTTTCTTTGAGGTATTGTTTGTGGCTGTTTTCACATTATTTTGAATTTATATATTGACTTTGAACTTTGTGTTAAAGTTGGGTGCTGCTTACCTGGGGTTGGGAAAGCACTGTCTCTAGCTTCCGACTTTTTCTTGCTATTGCTTTCAGAGCCAGTTCTTGGGGGTCTGCAAGTTTTAGGTGCTTACAGGGTGGTATGATCCTGGGAGAGGTATGGACACTGATGTGCTGGTCTGTACTGTAGTGTTTATCCATGAAGGACTGGCCCTGGCCCCCTGAAGCCACAAATGCTAGTGCTCTTTTTGCCTTGGAACCGTGACCAGGGCCCTTGCTCCCTTGTGACCTATCAGCCCCCTGGTGTTCCTCTGTATCCTGAAATGTGACCCCACACTGCTGCCAGTCAGTGTCATTTCTACCCAGTGCCAGCAGAGGGTCTCCTGTACTTTCTTTCTGGTAAGTGGTCTGACTCCCTTTCCATCTCTGTGCTGAGAGCCCCCAAAGCTGCTGCTGTCGCCACCGCCGCGAGCGTTGGCTGGCATCAGACAGGTTTGCACCCTTGTGTCACAAACTTCACTGACCTCCTGAATTTTATTAGGCCAGACAAATGTCTGACTTTGACTTTTTGTTGCCTCTGCCACTCCAAAATTTGATTTGAGGCATTATCTTAAAGTTTTTTGGAGGGAGATGTTCAGAGAGTTTAGCTGGGTAGCTTCTGATCCACCATTTTGGCTCAGTTGCCCAAATTGTGTCACTCATTTGGATAATCTATAGAGCTTGTCCATCAGTATATATATCTTGGACAGAGAGTATAGAAGGATGAGTTTGGCCCATCAAGAGGAAGAAAATGAGCTGTGTTGCATTTGGGAAAATTGCAAGCTCCTTTACTTCAAGCTTCCCATGAAAGCAAGAGGCCCATGTTTTTAATATCAACATTCCACTAGAGTCACTATATGCCAGTGAGATTTGAAATACAACAATTTTCAAAGAATTAAAAGTGAATGTCACACAGAGAGCAATGAAGAGGCATATGGTAGAGGTGAACAGGCTATAGCATATAACCAGTGAGGACCTCTTAGAAGACGAGGAATGAAAGATATTATCAAGGAATTCCATGAGAGGAGGAGAAGATGGCTACTCGTGTGATGAGAGTGTGCTGAGACAGCCAGAGTGATCTACTGGTATCTTTGTGATGTCAGGAGAAAGTGAGAAAGTCTTCCACCACGTGGACCATTAGTGGTTTACTTTTTGGAAGA